CCCCCCGAGCTAACATGAACACTCGAGTTCTGTACCTAGGCAGGCAGGCATTGGTTTTAACACCGGTTCCCATCTAAGGTACCTTAAGGTATCGTGGTTGGCACCCTCTGAGGGTTCTGAGGGGCCGGGAGGCCTTCAACATCAGTTCCACTTCTGCGAAGGGCCTTATCCGTTTCTTTTCTAACCCCCTCCCTTCTCTTTCTTCATTTTCATTCTTTGGCTTCTGCGAACAACTTGGGAGACGCTTCGTTTGCATTGCATTCAACCCCCGAGAAACAGAACCCCGATCCTCTTCATCCCTCCCTTGATTCACACCTGCATACTAGAGTCGAGTGATCCCCGCCCTCCCACCAACTCTCACTCGCCATCTCGGCCTTTAGCTCTGCGATCACTCGAGCTGTTGTTTATTTGCTTCCTGGTTCTCCAGTTCGGCTGGCCGCCAAGGGACAACGTGGTCCACCGACTGACTTCTGCGTTTCCACCGCGGGTGGGAAGGCGGTGTCCTCATCCATTCCACCCATTTCTCAACCCATGACCACTTGCAGATACCAGGCCGGACTAGACATACATACCTCACCAGCAGCTCCCCTTCACCTTCAACCACTGTCCACCAAGTATCTCCTACTTTTCTTCCGAGTAAGAGCAGGAGACGAAACAAAAGAAGCAACACGACCGCTCACCTCGGTCCTTGTCTAACCCATTCGCGGTCATCTCACCCGTTTTCTACCCGTTGATTTCTCACCCAGATTACGGTTACACCGGAATGTCTCAGTCGTTGAAACATATCTCAGAGATGCACTCGACTCCCGGCTACCCACTTCTCTAAGCCACTCCCCTCCTCCCGCTTCCCGTTTCCTGCCCCCTGTTTTCCCAGTGGTTACCCACGCTGTATTAGTTGACCACCCTCACAGGGACAGCAGAGTATATTGGCCCTGCTGGCCTTGTATGCACTCATAGCCCTGCCTCACATCACTTTTGTCCACCCCAGGTGATAACAGCTACATACAGCTTTGCGTACACCTCGCTCTCGCCCTCATCTCAAACCCCCCATCTCATCCAGCCATCCAGCCTTCCAGCCTTCCTCGTCCACGGAATTCACATTCTGAGCTTGGGCCTTGTGGGCATTTCCCCTTCCCAGACCATCTGCCACTTCACCAATTCTTGTCTCGACGGCTGTCCTTCGGCCTTGTTTGGCCCCAGACGTTTTTCTGGCTCCATTGTGGCTGGCTGCCCGGTTTGGAAGGTAAAAGGCTGGCCGTGTCTGACCTATCCGGGGCTTGTGTATTGCCGTGCTACCTAAAGCCTCCAAGATGGATATAACCGAAGGAGCGCCAGAGACGCTTCTTCCTCACCCTCAGACCCAGTCGAATCCCGCAGGCGAAGTCAGCAAAGAAGACCCAGATCGCAAGAAATCAGTTGCCAGAAAAAGAACCAAAACTGGCTGTCTTAGTATGTATATCGCTGTCGCTTTCTGCATCTCACTGTCCTCCCCTCTCACCTTCTCCTCCCCCACGCCTCCCCCCCTTTCTTGCAAAAAAAAAAAAAAAAACTTTTGCTTAAACCTCCTTGGAGGGGGGAGTTGCTCTTGACCTGTGTCTGACTGCTATATCGTCTCAAGCATGCCGCAAACGTCGGATCAAGTGTGACGAAAGCAAACCAATCTGCAATAACTGCACCAAATCCAAGAGGCACTGCGAGGGATATAATCAACGCGTCATATTCAAGGATCCCATCGGTGCTTTTCATGCCGGCAACAATGGCCCGGTCCCTTACCTGCCTGAATCCTCCCAGCACGCGTTTCCACAGCTCGGAAACAGCCAGCCTAACCCGTCGTCTCAAGCTCCGCCTCTCGCAGCCATAGCGCCTAAGCCCCGTACTGGCCCCGACTATCCGGGCTATCCACGAACAGTCTTTGTCGAACCCTTGGCCGCTCAATCGAGTTCTTCCTCATCAACCAGCTACGCCTTTCCCCAGCCACCATCATCATCATCACCATACAGACAGCCGCCCCCGTCGGTTTCCTCCTCTCTGACACCCCCCCTACAACCACACCACCCTTATAGTGATCATGGCGTCGAGCAGGCCTATCTCCCGACGCCGGGCCCCGATGACGTGGGTCTCAAACTATCTGGCGGCCATATGTCAACATCTCCAAATTCATATTTTTCGGCCAGAGATATGGCTGGTGCAGCACCCATCACGCAACACCATACCTCAGGGCGGAGCGACCTACCACCCAAAGCCGAAATGACACATCCCTACCTGGATGATGATGGTTCTATGGCTAACTCTGACGACGATCTCGGACTCGGAGATGTGAAGAAAGAAGACGGACATGGCGGTCTGGTACAGAGACGCATAAACGGCCCAGTCGAGGGATTCGGCACGGAGATGCGAACCTTCTCCGCCTTCGCCGATGACAGCGTTCTTACATCGTATGTCCCAACCGCGACGAACTCGCCTCTCAACGACGACAGGACAGCGGCGCTCTTCTGGCACTTTGTCAACGTTACAGGACCCAGCATGTCGCTGTATGAACGGCATCCATTCGACCACACCAACGCATCATTGGACACTCAGTCCGCTCCCCAGGCTAACCATAACATTTGGACATGTGAGTTGCCGAACCTAAGCTCTGTCGTGTAGCAAAAGGAGGCTGACCGGGTTCAGACACATTTCCGATCATTTCTTTCCAGCACCCAGCTCTTTTACAGGCCATTCTAGCCATGGGCTCCCTGCAGATCGCGAGACTGCAATATCTTCCACCCACGGCAGCCATGAAACACTATCATCTTGCTATTAGGAGAATCGCGCACAATGTTCGGAGCCCGACCAAACGCACCCAGCCGGCCAATCTGGCCGCCACTCTGGTTTTAGCATACTTTGAGGTCTGGAATTCGGATCACACCAAGTGGTGCCAACACCTCCTCGGAGCCAGAGTACTATTCAGGGAGATACCTTTCCGAGAGATGACGAGGCACATCCTGCCGCTCAAGAGAGCTAAACGGGCTCTTTTCGAAGGATCACGGCAACCCCATGACCCTCTTTCTATGGGATATGGCCCTAGTCCGAGGTTGAAACATGACCTAGACGACGTAGACACCGAGTTCCTGGGCCAATTGGCAGGTCGACATGTGGAGTATGACGACCAACCCCCCTCGCCGGGCTTGTACTACACGGCTCGTGACATTGAGCATTACGAGTATCTGAGGGATCTCTTTTGGTGGTATTGCAAGATGGATGTCTATCATTCTTTGCTCTCCGGGGATCGACCTTTGTAAGTGTGCTCCCCACTTGATGTTCTCTCTAAACTTGTGTGGAATCCTATACTAACCAAATAATCTGCCAGCATGGAATTTAAGAACTGGACGCAATGTCCTCCGCGAGCACCGATGGGAAGGCTGGAGGCTATGTAAACGCCCCCCCCCCCCCTATGCCTGGAAACCACTCGTGTCTCTGCCTTGTCACTAACGGCCCATAGCTACGGCACATATGACCACGTCATGCTAGTTTTAGGGCGCCTAATGGCATTTGCAGCGAAAGATCTCTCACGGAAGCGAAAAGCCATGCAGTCTTTCGGGATGGGCGGACCACCGTTCGGGCCACCGCGTGGATCACCGACGGGTCCAACCGGTCCACCAGCGGGTGGTCCTCCGGGGACAATGCCGCCGGGGATGCCCCCTGGGCCGATGATGGGCATGCCACCAGGAGGGATGCCACCAGGAGGGATGCCCCCGGGAATGATGATGGGAATGCCGCCGGGAGGTTTCCCGCCCGGCATGTTCGGGGGTCCAGGTGGCGGATCGCCGCCCATGTTCCCGGGTATGCTCCCCACAAGCAGCAAAGTATCGTTACCTACAGGCTTCAGTCCGATGCGGGATCAAACGCCGCCGCGGGATATATCTGAGGACGTCGACCTTGGTACGGCGACAGAGGCAGCACTGCTGGAGTGGGAGAGCATCCGGGAAGCCTTCGCGCACCTCCGATCTCGGTTCGGGCCCGAGCTCGAGCCTTTAGGTGCCGAGTACGCTGACCGTCGAGACTCGCCATTCGGCCCCACGCTGCAGTACCGCACATTCTCTGTGGCAGGAATTTGGCTCAACTACTACTTGGGCCTCATTCATCTCTATAGGACCCATCCTATGATGCCACCGGCGGCTATGGTTGCCCAGGGGATTCAGGCCAGACACACGGAGCAATATGCGAGGGAGATTGGGCGTATTGCTGCTGGTTTGTGCGATGACCTCACCAGCGTGACGGAGATCAGCACTCTCGTAGGGGCGGCGCTTGTGGAATCTAGCCTGCCCCTATTCGTGGGTGGTATTCAGGTGCGTTTTTTTACATTTCATTATTGAATCACGAACGATCCTTTGCTAACCGCTGTATTTTGATTGCAGGCTCAGGAAGCCGCTCAGAGGCACTGGCTTATCAGGAGGTTGCATGACACTGCGCGACTGACGGGATGGCAATCAGCGAGGCAGATTGCCGAGGGCTGCGAATCAGCCTGGCACAAGGCGGCGGAGCTCGGAAAAGGTCCGCCGTATACGAGAGACCCCAGCCTTTCCAGGGAAATCCCCAAGTCGGTATGGGATTTCCCAAGGAAGATGGCGTCTCAGAGCGAGCAGCTGCGTGAGGAAACCAACGGCGAGATGGTGCTCCTCCCGTCTCACCGTGCGTTCTATGCTATAGGATTGATCAGTGTCGAGCAAGAGCTGGATAAATTGGAGCTTAACGATGGTGGCTGAAACCCCTATTCCCGTCGCCTGCGGGAGAATAGAGAATAAAGCCACTCGAATTGTGACTTAATGTACACCCCGTGTCCTAGTAATGATGGCGGTACATGACCTTTCAGAGTCGACTACCTTATGTTGATTTGGCTCCGTCATGAAGAGGGCAGTTGCTACATGAGCTCCTCATCACCTCCATGCGAGCAATTCTGATTGTGGTACATCATGGCTCAGCTTTCTCTGTATTTGAAGCAGCAAACTCGCCCCCTTTCCGTCTAGTTCGCAGGAAGCCTCTCCACAACAACAGCCATCTCCTCGTCGGTATATATTCTGAAGCCCTTTCCCTTGGTTACGCTGGCCAACTGCACGTTCTTTGAATCTAGCTTCTCCTCCATCACCTGCTTCAGGGTCTTGAGCACCAGTGTCTCAGCATCCTCAATTGTAAGGGACTAAGAGGATCGAAAGGTCAGTCCAATGCATTCTATGATATGATAGGCACCCAATGTTTCTTTTCGTAGGGGGCACGGTGGTGACAAAACGATGAAAGGGAAAAAAAAAGAAAAGAAAAAAAAAAGGAAAGTCCCAAGGAGATTGTAAAAAGAGGGGGGCCACAACAAACCTTGTGATACTCGTTTTGCAACTCGGCCTGCGCGCCCTCGGAGCCAGAGCCAATGGCCTTGGCATCATATCGGTAGAAGGTACCACTAGGCTCAGCGTGGTAGAGCTGGGGCCCGTCCTCGTCGTAGCCGGCGATGAGGAGGGCGACGCCGAAGGGTCGGCTCATGACGGTCTCCTCGCCGTCGGCGCCCTCGCCGAAGCGTAACGCGAGGTCGCAAATGGCCTGGGTGGCGGACTCGACGCGGAGGGGCTCGGCGTAGTTGAAGGCGTGCGACTGCGACTCGACGCGGGCGTGCTCGACCATGGACCGCGCGTCGGCCTGCAGGCCGGACATGGCGCAGCCGATGTGGCGGTCGATCTCGACGATCTTCTCGACGGAGGAGGTCTCGAGGAGGGTGGAGGTGACGCGCTTCTCGACGCCCAGGATCACGCCTTCCGAGGTGGCCACGCCGATGGCTGTGCTGCCGAGCTTGATGGCCTCGAGGGAGTATTCGACTTGGAAGAGGCGGCCTTCGGGGGAGAAGGTGTTGATTCCGCGGTCTGGGTTCGGGGGCGAGGATCGAGAGCGACGGGGTTAGGTCAGTGGGAACAGTAGCGAGGTAAATGAGGAACTGGCAGGATAGATGGGAGCTGATGCTGCTGTGTGCTATAGAGGGAGGGCGTTGGATCACCGTACCGTATTCCGATCTTGCCATAAACATCTTGGCGGTGTATTGAGGGTGGTATCGGCTAGAAAGGTTTCTTTATGAACTGAGAGAGAATCAGATCCAGTAAGAATCGGATAGACTGGATGTCGAGAGGTATTGAGGCGGGACAACCGGGTTGGTGGTGGATTTCTTGCGTCTGGCTGCGATGGGGGAGTTGAGCTTTGGTTGTTACTTGTTAGGCAAGCACATAGACTACGCAGCCGCATAGCTCTGATGGATGGGGGATGAATGATTCAAGCTTCCGATTGGCTACTCACCGAATCAGCTAAGGCAATCCGTGCCTAATGTGCGGAGTACGGAATTACGGATACATGTACCTGACACCGGCCCGGATCAACTCGCGTACCGACCTAAGGTCACCCCCAGTGCTTGCCCGAAACGCGCCCTGGAAAGTCACACCGCGACGAGTCGACGAATCGCATTTGGACGGAAACCCCGCCAGAAACATACATCCAACACTGACCGACCAAGATCCAAGACCCAAGACCCAAAACCACGCGCGTAATAGGCCACCGCAACAACCCGGAGTCGCATCTTGCAGCCTCCCCAATGCTGTCTGCGAGATGTCCTCCGCCTCCAGGGTATCAACCCAAGACCGGCGCGCAAATGGACCCCCCGCCAACAGCGACAAGCAGAGACCCCGCGTGAGCGTGAACGCCGCGAAACCCGGCAATTTCAGTCGACATGACGCATCAGATCTTCGACGGACGGCATCTCCGCAATCCGACGGGCCCTACGGGTCTTCACATAAACGGACAGCATCCGGGAACCCGAGACCTTTGAGCAGGACCCATGATGATCGGCGCATAGAAGAGCGGCGGACGGAAAAGACATTCGTCACGCAACTAGAGAGTATTGTCCGTCGGACAAGGAGCCCTGAAAGGTTAGAACGTCGCCAGGTGCCGACTGAGAAGGCAAGGGCTGCGGCGGAGAAATCCAGGCCGGTTGAGAATCGGTCAAAGGAACCAAAAGTCGAGGCTCCCCAAGGTAAACCTCTCCAACCGCGATCTGATTGATGCCGATGCACGAAGTTTGTTTTTGTTTTGTTTTGTTTTGTTTCTATTTCCTTTTTTTTTTTTTTTTTTTTACTGTCGACTGACATGCGAAAAGCCCCCCCATGGTCACCCGAAGCGACACTTCTTCCTCATACTTCGGCCCCACTGGCATCCCGCATCTCCATCCCTCCCTTGGCCTCCCAAGCCCCATCGACTGTGCAACCTACACCCCTTCATGAGCTCTCTCTTGAAGCACAGGAAGCTGTCATTATAGAAGACCTCCTTTTCGTCTTCATGGGCTATGAGGGGCAATACATCCGATTCTCCAAGAGCTACAATCCACACGAGGAGCGAGATCGGCTGTCGGGACCCACGTTCAGGATTTTGCCCGGGCTGGACCCCAGTTTGCAGGATCTCACAGTGTCAATGCTGAAGATGGCGACCTACTACTCGGCCCTAGAGGTGTTCGTCGACGTTCAGAGCCGAGAGGAGTTTGGGGCTGTCAACCACGCCTTGTGTGCCTCGGTGCGCAAGTTTCTGCAGGACTATCTTATCATGATCGCACAATTGGAGACACAGTTCCTCACCAACGAGAATTTTACCCTTCACGTCTTGAACATCCAGACTTTGCCGACGAGCCAGACCATGTCGCGCCTTTACTCCTTAGCTGTTGAGCTCCTTAAAAAGAACGCTCTCCTGGACGACGACGACGACGACGACGACCCGGGCGATAGTGGAGACGACTTTGATAACATCCTTGAAACGCTTCGGGACGGCGGGGATCTCGGTGCCGGAAACATGACGGGCAAGAGGATCTGCAAGGGGGGTGTAGTGCTGGGTTTGATCACAAAGAGGCAAGAGGCCATGGCGGGAGACCCGGTCGCCAGGACTCTCTTGACCACCTTGCTACGGGACGCTAGCCGGCCGTACATGGCCATGTTGAATGAGTGGCTGCATCATGGTGGCATCAACGATCCGCATGCCGAGTTTCTCATCAAAGAGCAGAAGAGTATCCGCCGGGAGAGGCTGGAGCAAGACTACACTGATGAATATTGGGAACGACGGTACACCATACGGAAGAACGACGTGCCACCACAACTCCAAGACGTCAAAGACAAGGTCCTTTTGGCGGGTAAATATCTCAACGTGGTACGAGAATGCGGCGGCGTCGACGTCAGCAAAGTCGTCAAGGACGTTCCGACTTCCTTTGATGACAGCCGGTTCCTCGACAACGTGAACATAGCCTACGCCCATGCGAACGAGTCGTTGATGCAGCTCTTACTGACCACGCACTCCCTTCCGATGAGGTTACGGTCCTTGAAACACTATTTCTTTCTCGATCCCTCCGATTACTTCTCCTACTTTCTGGAGCTCGGAGCATCCGAGCTGCGCAAGCCGGTCAAATCCGTTAATACCGGCAAGCTACAGTCGCTTCTTGACCTCGTGCTGCGCCAGCCGGGAAGTATTGTGTCCTTGGATCCGTTCAAGGAGGATGTCAAGGTCGAGATGAACGAAATCACCCTGATCAAGTCCCTCCAGAAAGTGGTGAACATCACGGGCATGGAGCAGGGCGAGGCGCTGCAGCCCCTATCTAGTCAACCCATCGAGAGCGATAAGAACGCGATTGGGTTTACGTCACTCCAACTAGACTACGCAGTGCCGTTCCCGGTCTCGCTGGTTATTAGTCGCAAGACGGTGTGGCGGTACCAAGCCTTGTTCCGGTATCTTCTCTCCCTGAGACACCTTGAGTCCCAGCTATCCACGACTTGGCACACGCAAACGTCCGGCATCGCGTGGTCCCACAAAAGCTCGGCCAGGAGCCTCGAGGTTTGGAAGCGCCGAGTCTGGACTCTCCGGGCACGTATGTTGGTCTTCGTACAGCAGCTGCTATACTTCTGCACGGCCGAGGTGATCGAGCCCAACTGGACCAAGTTCGTGTCGAGACTCAAACCCAACGAGGAGCACCAAGGAAGCTCCTTGTCGGGTCTGACACGGACGGTTGACGAGCTCATGCAAGACCACGTGGACTTTTTGGACACATGCCTCAAGGAGTGCATGTTAACCAACAGCAAACTGCTGAGGGTACGTCGAAAGCGAATCGTTCGCGCTGCTTCTCTTTTCACGAATGTTACAAAAGCTTACTTGCTCATTCCTCTATTAGATCCACTCCAAGCTGATGCAGACTTGCACTATCTTTGCAACATACTCTAACTGGCTCACCCGCGAGCTAGAGAAAGCCGACCCGGATTTATCGGGCAACACTAAACCGCCCAATATGACTGATGACCAGTGGAGGGTGTTCCAGGCGGTACGAGCGCAGAAGACGTCCTCACAGAACGACTCGTCGTCTTCGGGCCCGGGCCAGACGAGTCAGGACGCGCGCATTGCCAACCTGTTCGAGATTATGAAGAAGTGGGAGAGCAACTTCAGCAGGCATCTCCAGATCCTGCTCGATGCGTTGAACCACTATGCGGCGACAGAGACGGTCGTCTTGCTGAGCCTGTGCGCTCGGCTGAGCACCGCAAACCAGGGGACCGAGTATGCGGGGCTAAGGAACGAAGAGGATATGGCGGTCTGAGCTTTGTCCTGTGCAAAATCTGTCTTATTCTTTTTTCTTTCTTTCCCCTTTTGTCCTTCTATGTTATGGATATCGTTTCAGCGTAGCAGTGGTCGGAACTGGCGTTTTCGGGGTTGGAGGAGCCTGACGGGAAATAGGGACAGATAACACGTGCGAGGATATGTTCATCGTAGTAAACCCTGACGTTGCTACCTGGAGAACCAAGCAGGCATATGGAATGATGAGAATACCCATCAAGGAGTCCCGATGCCTCCATCTTTTATTTTTCTCATAAGATGTTATACAACAGGTGAAATGTACATGATTTTATATACGAGGGGGAGATTCCAATCCTCTGCCTTGAGCATCTCCTTCGCATAATGCCTGGGACACAAATGCCAACCAAATGCTGATGATACACCCATATACATACACGAAGCTCCCACCATAAGCGTACCCGGCTTTTTTCTTTCTTTCTTTCTTTCTTTCTTTCTTTTTTATTTTTATTTTTACAGCCTCAAGCTTGGAGCGCCTGGCTCACCAGCTTACTGATTTCTTTAGCGTCCACCTCGACATCCCTCCCCTTGAGAGCTCGAGTCACGGCCTTCATGACCCGCCCAACGACCTGTTTCCCTTCGGCCCCAGCGGCGCGGGCCTCCTCGATAGCGGCGCGGACGAGATCGCGCACCTGGGCCTCGGACACGGTCTCGACGCCGCTGGCGGCGATGTATTCTTCCAGGATGCGGGCCTGGGCGTCCTCCTTCTCGGCGAGGTCGGGGCGGTCGGCGTCGCGGGCCTGGGCGGAGGCCTCGCGGGAGCCGCGGAGGGACTTGCGCAGGAGGGCGACGAGGTCGAGGTTGGTGGTGACGGGGGAGGAGGTCTTGGCGGCGTTGTTGGTGGCGGAGAGGACGGCGCGGAGGACGGTGAGGCGCTGGGCGTCTTTGCTGCGCATGGCGGTCTTTAGGTCCGACTTGAGGGTTGCGAGGAGAGGAGGGGTGGCGGGTGCCGAAGAGGAGGCGGCGACGGAGAAGAGCTGGGGTGTTGGGTGGTAGGATCTCCAGGGCTGGATGCGGAGGGGACGAAGGGCCCTGAGCCAGTGGGTTGCTTGCCGTGACGCCATTGTCAAAGGGGGCCGGAGCGTTCAATATTATGGTCGTCGGAAGTTGGTGGTCCTGTCTTCAACTCGGTTTGCGTGGTGGTCCAGCTTCTTTTGTGCTACAGTTTGCGATTGAACCAGCAGATTGGTGATAGGCTGGGAGGCCGTTGGAATTCTGCTAATTGACACCCCTTCGTGATTAGTCATCACTTGGACCCCCTTACCTCTGAAGATGTGACCATCACGAACTTGTAGCTTTTACCGCTTGATTAATTATAATAACTATTGGCGACAGTCAAAAAGACAGAAAAACGGTGGAAAAAGTAGAGAAGCAGACTTCAATCGAAGAATACCTCAAAGTTCACGGCGTGATCAGCGAATTAATAAACCCTTGTGTCCCCAGTGTTTTTGTCTCCATGGACAGTAGCAGCGCCAACCAAAAATTCATCCGTGGAATGGAAACAAGGCGTTCCTGGCCATTTCTTCGAAAGATATCTCCGCACCAGGGACCAGGGACCAGGGACCATCACGGGCCTTCTTCCCCTTTTCACACTGAGAGCCCGAAAGTTTCAACTCTTTTTCCCGGACATCTCGAGAAAGTGGTCCGGTTCTAAGCTGCAGAAGCAAAAGATACGGGACAAGGTTTCGAAGCAAGGGGTCAAGTCCCCACGACTACAAAATTCGGGGTTGATCGTTGCTATCTACTAAGAAGCAGGGAGGCAAGGAAATAATGACCACCTCTTAGGAACATCGTGATTTTTTATTGCGAATCTGGCAATAAATCCCATCTTTACATTTCAACTGATTACTGTGTACTTCGCAAATTTGAATCGAGAAGCAGGGAGTAAGAGAGCGATAGGAAAGGTGACAACCCCAGGGACCTAGTTTATAACTGTACGGCGTTACTGACAAGGGTCGGGGCTCCGGGCCGGGCCGGGATGCTCTGGATGGGGATGGGGACTGACTCATGTACCGAATTTCTTTAACAACCTGAGACTTGTCCAACACAAGACGTCAATGAAGCCTTCGCGTGTGTCGTGCACTTCTGACGAGGAGAAGACACTTCTGAGGACGTCTTATCTGCCTGAACACTAAGGGGAGATGATCTCGGATACGTTTACCCGAGATGCAGATTCATCTCTGCCTGCCTTATGCTAAGACGTAATTACCTCGTGGTACAATTTAAACAAGCCACCAAAATATGCCGGCAAGGCCGGCAAGGCTTATTTCCAGGGGATCGCGTCAATCTCTCACGATGGCATGGATTCAAAAGAGGGGCTGTACCGAACATGTTGTTAATACTTCCGTATTCCGGTCCATACTCTATATATCTGATTCGAGGCATTCGGAACAGAACCCTCGATGTGATCCGAATCGATAGGGGATACTGTATTTGACACGACGCAGTACATGTCGATCAGCGGCATGTGAAGAACTTTGCAGATATCGGTACACGACCCCTGGGCTCCTGGGTCCGATTGTGGTCATCCAGTAAGGTAAGGCACAAACCAGGCAAGGTAAAGTAACTAGGACCACAGGTACCCTCCACCCTTTTCCCGTGCCTTCCAATAAGGTACCTCCTACCTTAATTACCTACGGTAGGTGACATTCCACAACGATGTTTGAACACGGCGGGTAGGGTATGAGGTACATAGGGGCATGGTGGTGTGCCTCAGATGTGGGAAGTACGGAGTACACACACGGATACAGTCATGCCTCGTCTCCTTTGGGGTAACGCCGTTTCCGGTGCCTGGTTGGCATTTTCTCCTCTTCGGTCGTTCCTTCTTGAGCAGGCACTAACCCTTTTACTAGACCACGGAGATGTGATGTAACAGAAACGACCAAGTGTGAAAACAGCGCAAGAGCTATGGTGAGTGAGACATTACCCCGACATATTAGTCGACCGTTGGCGCCGGGAAGTTGGTGCTGGGAGTTGGGAGGTCAGCTGCCCCTTGCCAATCGATAGAGAAAACCCCCCGCGGGGCAACTTTCAGAACCGCGCCCTCGTACTGCTTTCACCCAGGGGCCCTCATTCCTTCCTCAGCCGAGTTCTGAGTTCTGAGTTCTGGTCTGGCACCGCTTTGCAGGTATTCCCCGGTCTTTTCTTCCACCCGAACGACAAGGGAAGATTATCCATCCTCGTGTTAGGTCTTCATCATCATCCAATTCGGTAACCCAGAATCTTCAACCGATTATCCCCGCCTGGGCACTGAGCCTCAGAATCAAGCGACTACGACTCATCCTGAGCCAACCGGCCGCCGCCTCCATTTGTCGAGGAGAACAGGCAGCAATGAACGATCTCAAGGCAGGGTATCAATAATGTCGAACTGACATTTGATGAATATAAAGTGGTTGAAGTGGAAGAACTTGACCAGTGGACCTCGCGGGCCTCTACATGCCGTCCAGTCAATCACCACCAGACCATGGTTCATTCTCCCGTCGTCCAAAGCCCCATCCCATGCCGCAAGCTGCCCTTTCCCCTTGTCTGCACCTTCTTCTTCTCGGTTTCGACGCGCGATCCGCGCAAGCCAAGCTGCACGGTATATCTCAACGGGGCTTCTGGCCTTGGCAAACGTATCTGGGTGCATGATTCTGTTAGCATTCGTTCGCGGGACACACACCAACGCAATATCGTTGCAACAGACGACGGACTATTCATCCTTACAGAGAAAAGTACGCCTATAGAACCACCTCGGACAGGACCCTCAATGTTAGTCTACGCTTTCCCATGTTTGCCCAGCAGCAACAGTGAAACTAAAACAACCAAAGGAATACATCACCTTGAAGCTCGGATTATCCGCCTCGCTCCTTGCCTGTGCCACGAGGAGCTCGAAGTCTGCGATGTCCATGCTGTTTCACACTTTGCGTTAGCTTGGCGGATTCATGGACAGCCCGATAGAACTCGTTGTGGCCTCGTGATACCTCCTTCACCTACCCTTGGAGCACCGTCATTGGGTACAGCGCCAATGACGACAAAAGCCTACGCACGTTGTCTCTGTTGAGAACACCAACCTCGCGCTGATTCTCGTCTAGTGCCTGACGTGGTCAGAGGACTCTTGTTCTCACCTCCACGATGGGAATCGTGTTCTCCTGATCCGTTGACCACTCACCTCTTGGCCATCCGCAGGTAGGTAGTGGTACGGGTCTCGGTTCCCGCGCCACCACAAAGCCTGCTTCTCGCATCCAGCTCGCGATGCGCAGTGGTGCCCTGGGGTCTTTGTACGGTTGGATACTCTCCATGTACAATCTTGACCACCTCCGCAACGCATGGTCTGCTCTCGTTGACTTGTTAGCAGCCTCATGCACAGACGCACAAAACAGAAAAGAAAAAAAAAAGAAACACTATGCGGACGAGAAGCAGCATACCATCCGTCAGTGTACCGTTATCGGACTGTGCATTGAAGTATATCTCCACCATCTGGCACCAACCCCCTGGCCGAAGGGTTCGGTATATGTCTCGGATGTAGCTCTGCCAGCGGTCTGCGTTGACGGCGCCCACCATCATCTGGCTATGGACAAGGTCGAATTCGTTTCTTCGCCACGTGAACCTGGGACAAGAGAGATAAGTAACGGGCCGTGGAGAATATAGTGGATATGACTGCTATCAACGGGGCATACCTCTCGTTAACGTTGTCCACCTGCAAAACTAGGTTTTCCGGGAGAGCCTCCTCCAATGGCAATACGTGAGGGGCTATGTCAACAGCCACTACCTTATCACATTGGTCAACAGGAGTCGAGCTGGCGACCCCGGGAGGGATAATGGAAACAAGGAAGGGTTGGCTCCCCGTCTGCCTGGAAAGGACTCCCAACGTTCTCGGCGTTGGGGAGCACAAGACGCGCTTGCGAGGTAATGGAATTTCGTCGACTGCACCAACCCGTCTCAACAACGTACCTCGCAATTCGGATATGTTTTGGCTACTTCCATGGCCCAGTATCCCGGCCCAACACCGCACTCGAGAATTTTTCTCGGACGGCTGAGTTGTGAGGGCAGCAACCTTCCATCGAGCACTTTCAAAAGAACCCAATGGAGTACTTCCAGGCGATCCGCCTCGTCCTAAAGTCGGAACCGAGCAAGTCAGTCCAACAGCGATGGGGATAGGATCGACGAGTTTCTCGGCTGTGCTAACCTCGTCTATTGGCTCGAAATACTGGTAATTTTCGATGGCGAACTGTTGGTATACTCGGCTGTTGTGCGTCAAGGTGGGGAAAAAGTCCTCGTTGATAGGGACGGTCTCTTCGCTGGGGAACGGTCAGGTTTCGGTCACTGAAATCTCCGGATTCTGCGGCTTACTCTGCCATGGCGGCTACAGGGAAAAAGGGAAAAGGAAAATCAAACGATAAAGACGCAATACGATTCCTAGGAATCCGAAGGTGAGTGCATGTGTTGTGTTCGCCGGAGGCAACTCTTCCCAACTCGTCAGAGTACAATGACTCTACTGGGCGGGGATTTTTCGAGGCGGAGAACACTAAAGCGGAAAAAGGGCAGTCGTGGCCGTTGATGTGGCCTTCGAAATCGCAAGTGGCTATCGTACAGTCCACGGGGGAAAAAAAAAAGGGGGGGGGGGGGGTTGTTCTGGAAAGGGAGCCGTGGCCCAAGGACAGACACACATACCCAGAAAGAGAAACCACTCGCAAGTGGACCCCTTGGGCTTGCCGACAATGCAGATTGGCTGTGAAAGGACTCACTACACCGCACGAAGTTGACGTCGATCCTGAAATGGGTCATGCAATGTACTCTCTCGAGATAGCGAGTCTCCCCCGTACCGGCTTCCAAGTACATACGTGGAGGCTGTCTCCTCGCGAAGTACCATCTGCCCAGCTTCCCTCCAGCCACGAAATATAGGGACTCGAGTGAGGCGAACAACCTGCTGGGACCTGTCGAGCATGGAGCATGGTTTCAACGGATGTCAGGGACTAGGGCATCCTAGCCCCTCACTATGTGTACAATGCCGGTCCTCAGGGACTATTGACCAGCCAGTCGGTTGTCTGTGAGTGTGTTGGTGTCGAATTTCCTAATATTCTTATTGGAGAAAAAGAACACGTTGTGCGGATGTGGCCGACCCTGCACGCTTCTAGATCCTTTGTCTGACGCATACAACGTATGCTTGTCCTACAGCGACTCCTCGGAGGGCGCCTACCTTTGCCAAGCTATTATGAGGGTCGGGACAACGGTATCGCGAGACAATTCTTTGCCCTCTTCACCTCGGGATAACGAAAAATGTCAAGTCCGTCTTTACGGAAGACAGCTAACCACTGGGATCTTGAAGCAGAAGAAACGTATTGCTCTTGTTTGTCCCCGTCAGGGTGAGTATCCGTACTGCGGGGAGGGGCTACTACTGCCGTGCAACATCGGGGAAAACGGGTCATCCGTCAGGAGAGCGATCGTCGGCTGAGGAAACCACCCCCTAGGTATTCTTCTATGAGTACCAGGGACATGGGACTGGGACTCATCATCCACAGGGAAGAAACTAGTAATTCCGAAAGGACTAACTAATAAATTCGGGTAGTCCCGGAGTTAAAGAGGGTAGGTACATAGGAGACTCCAGCGACTCCGTTGAGTTTATTGCTACAAGGTTTCCCCGGTTCGAAAAGGATCCAGGGACAGACGCTCTTATGAATGGCCTTGGATCCAAGATACAAATGGCTGACACTGCGTATTCTAGCTAAGAATATTGTGCAAGGATTTGTTCGGTCTGCGTACATGGTAGAAGACAACGGCAGGCGATCTGGCATGGGGGTTGAGTTATTAGTTCCCTTGAAGGACAGGGCACCACCATCTGCCGCCCTTCCGAATGACTGGCTCTCTCCATGTGTATGTACCCAGAGGTATGTATTGAATCCTCCCTTCTTTCATTATCATGCCGCCTATCTTTGGACCGGGCTTGTCTGCGGAGATGAGCCATGCGTTAAACCCATGGAAGAACAGTTGGCCGCGTGGCTCAATGGTAGGGCGTCAGATTTCGGCTCTGAAGATTGTGGGTTTCGAGTCCTACCGCGGTCGTTGTGTTCATTTTTGCTCCTCTCAGAGACTTACCGACGTTAAACAATACTACTACACTACTACTACGGAAGCGAACAGGGTCGGCCTCTACAATAGGTACTCAGTGGACAAATGGGGCAAAAAAAAAATCCTTTCTTTTATCTGAGACTAATAATCCTCGGAAATACACTACTCTGAAGATCTCCACTCCAGAAGTGCCATGGGGCCACTCGACGGGCCGCTATATGGTCCTCAGGTTCTGGGACAAGCCGCTTCAAGTGTGCCCACTTATTATTTATGAGTGCCCGCTTCTACGGACTCTAATTGTGGAGCCGGGCCAGCCACCATCTCCCGCAAGCCTGGTACATTCCCGACAGACTGGCACCGGCGTCTCGGGTTCTGGAAGCTAATTGTCACACCCACTCTTGTTTACACTGTAAGTACGTACTCTTAGGTACTTACGGTACAACAACTGGGTCTCGGGGTGCCCTGTTGACCTTGAGTAACTTGAGAAGGACTGCAGCGTACGCATTGCGTCTTCAGGGCGTTTTCCATACAATTTATCAGATGGGATTACGAGCAAAAGACCTTAGCCGGACGCTGGGTTACTTATCACGGGAAGAGGATGCTTATGATGGCTTGTTGAGGGACGATATGTGATAGCCAAGCTGCGCCATGCAAGTACCAAGACCACCGAAGTCAAGCCCTGTATCCGTACTCCGTACGGTACACAAGAAGTATCTACGGTAAGGGAGGTGGGTAGAACATGGGCCGGGATCGAGGGGAATTCCTTGGAGAGGCGAAACGGTGCTGACATGGATATTTATAAGGCCCTGTTCCCTCTTAAAGAGCGTTATCTCCATTCCAACAAGACCGAATTACCTAGGTATCCTTTTGTCTCAAACTGCAGCAGGAAAGGGCCTATCTCCCCCGAGGAAATCGACCGCCGCGAAAATGCCTATAGACTGATTATCCGTCTTCTCGTCCACAGTCTATCCTTACCAAGAGGCGGGGTGGGCAGAATTCTTGACGGAGCCGACCCGACCATCAAAACGTCAGGGCGATGTTCACGTACGAAGTGAAATAAACGGTCAGGCGGCACGAGACTATACACGTGTAGTGGCCCCCGAGTGATTATCGACTCTCCTCTATTCAAGGGGTCCCCTGTCAGAAAATTGGTTGGCGTGACTATCAAGGATGGGTTCAACCCCAGCCCCCCTTCCGTTCCCAAGCTCCTGGTTCCCGGTCCGCCCCCCTTCTCTTCGTCAAGGCGCTACCCAAACTGTTGGGACACACGAAGTAAATATGTAAAGCTTTTGTGCTCTGGCATACCAGATATCCGTTAGGTAATTGCCGTTCTCCAAGTCCGGGAGACGGGTTTCCCGCGTCAGATTTCCGGCTGCTCGGCACCTTGAGCCGGTTATCAGGAAGAGATCTTTTTTTTTTCTCCTTTTTTTTTTTTTTTTGCATTCTTTGGCGAAGTTTCCAGCCCGTTTTTGTCATTTCGGGTTTTGATACTCTGTTGCTGTTATTGTTTAGTTACCATCTGCCCGGGTCTCTTGAACTAATGCCGATCTGGTGTCATCTCGCGTAGGACATACGAGTATAATTAGGCCCCCACCCGAGCGTCCAGTCTATTTTGACCGAAGCTGGTCCGGAACGGTCTTTCCTTTCTTCAGCAGACCTGTTGCTTGAGACACGATGCTCTGTACGCCGGAAGTCGAAGATGATACTGCAATAGCCCTTGGGACACTCTATTTTGTTTGCAATAATTCTTTTCTCTCTCTTACCACCCATGGCCTCGCCCATAGATTACCCAATACCGCCAGGATGAGAAAAGGCAGACCGCAACATTGAAGCCAAAGTGACCGGCTGTACAAGCAATCCTTCTTCTTTGCTTTCTCTTTCGCTTGAAAATTCCGTATTGCCCCTTCTAAGGCGTCGCGGCCCATTGTGTCTAAAGTAAAGCCGAATATGCACCGACCATCCCATCTTACAATTCGGGGGAAAAAGAAGAAAAAAAAAATAGAAGAAGAAGTCCGGGGGAAGGGAGAAAGGCCTCTGTATCGGCGGGAGCGAGAACTGGAAAAGCAGCACTAAATATCACATATCACACCACCCAGCCCACAGACGCCAAGTCCTCAGCACCAAGTGAAGACGGGATTCCGCGCCTTGACAGGCTCGAGCCGCTCCACGATGACTTTACGTCGGTTACCCTCCATGCCCTCCGCCGCCGCGTATCCCAAGTCGCCGTCGAGGTCGTCCTCGGCGAGGTTGGCTTCGGAGTCGTGTTCCCTGCCCGCCGCGCCGTAGAGCCTCTGTGCGATGGTGGAGCTGCTGCGCCGCGTGGCCGCCGTGGCGAACGAGTAGCGCCGCTGGTGATTGAGTCGCCTGCCCTTCCCGCCGGCGGGTCCTCCTTGTCCTTGTCCCCGGTCAGGTGCGTACGCGTTCAGGGTCTGGGTCTGGGTCTGAGTCTGGGTTTGGGGGCGGCCGTGGGGACTCTGTCCGAAGCCGGAGGCGACATGGGCCGTGGGACGGTGCGGCGCGCCGGGTTTCGCGACGTCCTTGCCGAGTTGGGCCGCTGCGGAGTTCAGGATGTCGGAGCTGCCGACGAAGGACTCCCCGTCGGGTGACCGGGCGCCGCCCTCGCCGGTGGAGGGGGACGTTGAGAGCTCGAAGCGGCCTGGGTGGGGCATGTTGGCTGGAGAGCTGGCGAAGCCCAGGAGGTCTCCCATGTCGGCGTCGGGAGGGCGCGCGGGGGCAGACGACGAGACTGCGGCGCCGATGTCGCCCTCCTCGTCGAAGGTGGCTGGTTCGACGTTGCGGTGGTGCAGGTCGGAAGACATGCGCATGGGCACGGCGACGGGTATGTCGACGAGGTCGTCCCAGACGCAGACTTTGGCGCGGCGGGTGAGCTCGAGGGGTCCGTGATCGGCCAGTTTGAGCGTTTCGACGACGTTCCACGCTTGGCCTTTCATGACGGCCATCTGCCGGGCGAACATGCGCTCCTGGAAGTCCGGGTCGAGCTGGAACACTTTGCGCAGGGCAAGCTGAGTCTGACTCCACCATTGAGTCGAAGTGAGGAGGGGCAGAAAGTGATCACGGGTTTTCTGGGAGAAGGGTCGGCCGATCAGGTCGACAGGTAAGAAGAGCCAGCCAAAAGGGAAGCTGTCGAGAGAGAAGAGTTAGATTTCTTAATCCAGGAGGGAGAAAGGTGAGATGGTATCATAGAGGTGGAAGTGCGGCGCCAGTGTTCTGGGGATAAATTGCTTACCTTCTCCAGGCGTCGGGATGTTTCCAGGGCCACGACAATGAATTGTCTATGGCGCCGACGGTGATCTTCGGGTCTCGGATACTGGAAGCTGGGCTTGCCGCTTGCATGGGCTGTTGTGTTTGATAGGAAGGATACGTCGCTCTTGCTGGCGATGGCTTTCGATTGGCACTTGCAGGACGGGGACCGTCTTCTGCAGCCGACGATGATCCGTTACCCGAGTCGAATTGTATCGGCTCCGACACGATCGAGACTTGTTCGCTGCCCCAATCGACCTTGATCATCCAATTATCGAGACCGCGGTCCGTGTTGCGCATGATGTAGTCCAATATGACGAGTTTCTCCAGCTCTTCCCTGAACGACTCTTTCAATGATTCAGTCCACACGAAGTTATCCGGTCCTGGTGTATTTGCTTGTGCGCTATCTTCATCGTCGCTTTCAATATCGTTGAGGGAGGGGCCGCTGCCGGGGCGGCAGTTATCCGCCCACCTCCTCCGCTTCCGTCGGCGGGAGTCTGTCGTACGGAACCCGGACAAGTATTGGTCGGGCCACGGGTGTTCCCTGAGAAATACGTTGGCGTCCTTGAAGCCTTTAAGAAAGACCTGAAAGCTCCCGGCCTTTTCGGGGAGCGGCTTCTTCTTCCTCCTAAAGCTGAGCCGATCCCAGAACGGGTAATGGAAGGATTTGGAGGACAGCCAGACCACGTCGGTATACGGAACGATGTGTGTGCGTAGTTGACAGTCGAGAGTATAGGCTGCGGCTTCGCTGACATACGAGAGGTTGGGAATCAAACTGTGGAAGAAAACCCATTAGCCATGTTCGTCTTCTCTCTGTGCGGTTGGAAGAAGGAAAAGAAAGAAAAAAGCATAAATAATAAAGACGAGGGTCAGATCTCACCATGCTCTGCCAAAGAAGCAAGGGAACAAGTTTCGGTGAATCCATTTATTCCACTTGGGGTTACCAGCGGCGTAGGGCTCCTCGTCTTTGGGTTTGAACACTCCCACCACCTTGCCCTCGGGGTTACGAGCGAAGTAGCTACCCGAGCTGCCCTGGGAGATCATGCGAGGGTGGACGCCCTGGGCAATGGCAGCGCGGACGCTGCTGATTATATCCTCGAACTCGGCCTTGGTCATGACATCCGGTTGGGGTTCGGCAAGGCCTTCGGCCGTGAGAGGCCGGACGCCCTCGGGGGGCTGAAAGACGGAGTGGTGGATCTCGAGGGGCTCTTCGTCGCTGAGGTTCTTGGCAACCCCCTTATTGCGTTTGAAGCGGCTGGCAATCTCGTCGGCCCAGCGCTCGAGCCGAGCGTTGATGGCTTTGAGGTCTACGCCGCTGCCGCTGCCGCCGCGGCGGTGGGGTTTGGGCCGGGGCGCGAAGGCCTTCGGGGAGTGCATGCCGGAGTGAGGCCGTGGCTGCGAAATGGGGGCGTAACGAGGCGCGGCGGCTGGTTGCAGCGTAGCAGTGGAACGGGTGAGGGGGTCGTCATCTTCGGAGTCGGAGCAGAGGGCGTCGGCTTGGGCTATGCGCTCGTAGCCCGTGGTCGAGTGACGTGAGAGGGGCATGTTGTGTGGTGTGGAGCGGCGGGTAGTGGTTCGTGAGTTGAAGGATCTGCTTGAGACTTGGTCATCCAAGAGGGTGCGTCACAGTAACTGAAGCCCTCCTGTGTGGTTCAGGGGCTGCCCGGATCTCCGCAGCCCGTCTATGTCTATTGTGCTGGGGTGCGAAATCAAATCGAGGGCCGAGGGAGAGACCGAGGAACCTGCCTAGGACAACAAGATAGTCATTAGGTCAAAGCAATAGAAAAGGGTTATCCGATGTAATAATACAAAAGAGATGTCGTAGCTCGAGTCCCCGCAAGCTAACCAGTAGGGAAGTGAAGTTGGAAATTTTGGAAAGCGAAGCCACACAGATTGAGTAGTTGGAGTTTTCATCAGGAGGACAAGGGGACGAATACATATCTTATGCATGGAAAGGAGACACGAACTACGAGAGTACAGACGTGTGGTGACGTGACGTGACAGCTTCTAAGCTGTTCGAGGTACCTGACGGGTACTGATGATAGCTTTGGGATACGGCGAATCCATTCTACGTATGTACCTATATATGTAAATTGAGTCTTTCAGTACTTTACTTCTGCCATGTCGCTGTGATTTAATAGTACTATGAATGTATCAATTGCTTCAGTTCACTTTTTGCACTAATCCTGGCACACACGTTATGAAGGAATTATTGGCCCCCTTACTTCGTATAAGTGTGATGACTCAGCAGACCTAACTTTGCATTTATCTTATCCAGAGTGGGAAATTATAAGGTATGCTTCTTGGCGCTTTCGATATTCATATGTCTGTCTCCACGACTTTTTCGAGGTATCTCCTAATAAAGTCATCTTCGGTCTATATTACTCTGTAGTTTTCCTGATTAAAGTATGGCGGTCGTAGGATACGTATTGAGGATGTTCGATATTAACTTTAGGTAGTGGTTATTGGTCGGATCCTTAAATATGGCTCTCGGAATCACGATGAAGTCTTAGCGACCTCACTTATATGTAGATTAAGGTACCTTACCGAATTAATATAAATACTTCTTCCTCGATCGAGTGCGAACCGCTATTATGTCCGCACTTTATATTGCATTCTTTCGATGAAATGTTTTGATGTAACTCGATGCCTAGCTTTGTTAAGGAACCTTCCCCTTTATCGTATTTTCTATAGCTCCAATGGTCTGTCATTGGAGAGTTTGGTGTACCGCTCGCTACCTTAGGTAGTCAAGTTCCCCCGTTTCCTGCGATACCTAGGCCTGATGGACACCATCTCGCCGTATCACGATGACACCATGACGCAAGCGTCCGTGAAATGTGTGACAAGCCCCGGCGTACAGATGATTCAGGAACTGCGGCTTCGCGCGAGGCAACCAAAGATGAGCAACACATCCGCGACGGTGGCCATGCCAATGAGTAATGTCTTCCTGTCTGGGAGGTGGCAACAAAATCGAGGACAGCGGCGGCGGCTTCGACAGGAAGACTCCTCGCTTTGCTAAGTGAGGGGCGACTGTCCGAGGGCGTTCTGATCTGCTTTCTACGAAGTTTCTTAACTGGCGGCGTCGATGTAGACTGAGTCGTGCGATAATCTCGATCCATCTCGATCGTTTGGGGACCTTTTGCTCTGCTCCACGAGCCAACTCAACACACCAGCGCTGTTAGACTACCACTTTATTCTTTCGATCTGATAATAAACGTGCTTAGTGTATCCCGAACCCCTCCATGGGAAAACCGTTTGCGGAAGAGAGGAAGGGGGTTAGATAGCTTGGCTCCTATCAAACATTTGTTTTAATTGATTACACGACTTGCTGATCTCGCTTGGCCGGTTGAACCCGTCTTTGGGGGGTGCTATGCTAGTCCGCTACGGTATATAGCGGCTACGGCCGCCATTTCATTGGCAGTCTACCTCCCTATCCCCCAATAACACTCGGCAGGTCATATTTGCGTCTCTAAACTGCCCTGAAAGATATTGCACAATTCAATCTATTTGATAAACCCAATGTCACCGCATCGAGGGCTCAACGACGTGCTCAGGGATACGGTACCCTTGACATTCTCTCCCAGCCCCGATAGCCATCGGGGCCGCAAGAGAGATCGAAGCGTGACCAGGGCCGACACAGGCCCAGGTGAAGCTGGTGGCAGTGGCGGCTCAGGGGAATCACGCACTCTCCGTGGCCGAGCGCGAAGGCGGTCTACCTCACCCGTCTGGACATCATCCCGAAACCCTTCCGGTGGTCCAATGGACGGCTCGCTCTCGTCGGGACCAAGACGGTCGCTCCGTGTCATGGTGTTAGACCGCCGCCGAAGCCAGAGCCCCTCCCGGTCTGGCAGTCCCAATCGACGGGCTATGCGGTCTCGGCGCCGTCAACGCACGAGGAGCCGGAGCCGGAGCCACCAAGCTGAATCGTACAGAGGCGATGGCAGGGAGGCCGATGTGAAGCATGCACATGATATGGTGTCGAAGCAAGCCAAGCCGGCCGTCGACACGGGGATGGCATTGGATCCGGGAGGAGACGAGACGAGACGAGAGAGAAAGATGGATTAGCGCTCCCCGGGGCGTTGCCTTGATCGCATCAGCAAGGGCTTTGGGACGTCGAAGAAGGATCATAAGAGAAGAGACACGGCATGATCATATATGGGCCTCCGGAATTACAACCCTCCGCGGCCGCGACTTGGGGCACGCACTCCATGACTGACTGGCCTGTCTTCAATCACCTCTTACCCTTGACTTGAGTACAACCAGGATGGACAAAAGTCTGGACATCGCACATGGGTGTGAATGGGGGTCAAGAGATATCATATTGCTCTCGCAATGTTAACGAAAGCGTCGTACCTATGTATTACTTACCTGTACGAAGTGATTATACTATTAATAATATCGTAATTAATTACAAATATGTGTGTATGGGGTCACATGACGGGCCGTCCGGCAGAAAAAATGGATCCAGGACAAGTTTTGATTGTGGCACGGACCACGAGCTGCCGATTCTGCACTGTCCACGTGCCTGGCTGAGATTTCCGACTAATCGGAATCGGGAATAGGAGGCCGCCTCTCGCGACAGGCAGGGCTGCCTTGGGCTTTCCCTTGACGTTGTTGGCCGCCACATTGCACAAGAACTGCAGGTGACAAGTCGACCCTGCCGCGAGTAATAATTAATGTAAAAGGCAGGAACAGTGATGTTCATGTGCCGCGTCTAGCCCATGACAAGCCCATCAGAATATCAGACAATTCGACGAAGCGATACGTACAACGTACTTGGGGCATTTTATGTCAAAACCCCCGATCGACCTAGGCAGGTGCTCTTCTCTGATCATCTCCTAATAAACCCAACTTCCTAACTGACGTTGTATAGCGATAATCTCGTCTTTCCACGCTGCCCCTTTCGATTCATTTTGCCGGGTTGGAAGGTGCGTTGAAGTTTGAAGTGTGAAAGTGTGGATGAGGAAGGAGGGGTTATAGGTTAAGGTAGGTATTAGAATACGGGATCTACGAACCACAACCACGCTACGAGATACCGTACAACGTATCGTTGCCTGCCGTCGCGATAAGCCTACCTAATAAATAAGGTACCTTACCTTACCTTATTACGCCACAGCCTGGAACCTCCACGGTGCCAACGGAGGTACTTCGTAAGGCATTACATAGGTAGGTAGATATTAGTTCGTACCAAGCATTATCCACCCCCCCTGTTTCTCTCCATCCAACCCCCCGCCAAAACTCCACGCAACGCGAAGCCCTGTCCTTGGGCTCACAGCTCTTGGGTTCACGGTTCAACTTTCGGACTGTCGTCCGCCAACTCGGGAGTCAGCCTTAAAATCTCATCCCGCGTATAAAGGATTAAATTCTCTAAAGCGCCAGGTCAAAGAACGACCCCACGACGACGCGGATCGCGGATCGCGGATCGAGGCTTGGATTCGGCCTCTGCCTTCTGATCTATCTCGTTCGTTGCCTCCAACGGCGGCAGGACTGGTATGTTATGTCACTTCTATCTCTCACCTTCTCAGCTATCACCAATCGTTCTTTTCTTTCCCCTCTCTTCTATCTCTCCTTTTCTTCATCCCTTTCACCCTCGATGCTGCTGTAGGTAAGCCTCGATGCTCTATGTTTCAAGGCCGCTACCAGCGAACCCTCTCAACCGTTGACTGTGGCCTCTTTGAATCTTCTGCTGCTTGGTAGCTAGCTATCCGGTGAATGTACGGATATTCCCTCAGGACGTGGGCTCTAGTTAGGCTGTTGCTCGCCTTCACTTTTGGCCCCTTCCTCGCACTGCACCGCAGCCTGTTCTGTCTTGTTCCTGCCTACCCTGCCTACCTAACCACTTTTCTGTCTCTGCTCCTTCCACGCCTTCAGTTCGATTCCTGATCCTTCCTCGTCTTACACCGAGAACCATACCTTCCTTCTTATCTATCTAACCAGATCTATGGAACTATATAGGTTTCCACAGTTGCCATCATCCATCTGGTGCTTCAACCATTCCTCGATTCTTCGACCTTGGAATCTCGGTTCTTCTCGTCGTCACTACTCGAAACCAACCTTCGTTCCGTGATACTTCCGAATATCACACTCTCTATCGCCTCGCGTGTGATGAAAACCACCGTCTCGGCCCGCCTCACGGTCGTATGAACTACAAAATTTGACCACCGATCGTCTCCGTTCGTTTCTCGTCTTCATCACGCGCATGTTACCTGCTGCTACAACACGTTGCCATCATGGCCTCTACCGAGCAGCCCAATGGTACCCACTTTCCCTCTCTACCTCACAATATCTCAGCACAAGAGGGTAGGATAGAGCCGGCATCGGATAGCCGGCTAGCTCTGTCCTTGACACCTCCCCTCCAGCCTACGTCATCCGAGGATGCTAACTCCGCCCACCCACAAGGCCGAACCTCCATCGCCCGTGAAACCGTCGTCCCGGCCTGGAACGCCCAGGCTCTCCTTGCCCCTCGCAAAGTCGCGGCCCTCTCGTCTCAACCACAACAACTCCCCCCCAGACGCGACGTACCGAAGCCCAAGTCTCATCTCCCATCGGCTCCGCCCCTCAGCTCCAATGGTGACGGCCTCGTTTTCCAGTTCGCCAGTCCTTCCGCCAGCGACCCGCTTTCGTCTAACCTGCCTTCCACCTCATCCACACCCGTGACCGACGCACCTTCCACTCCGATTACCCAAAATCAACCATCTGGTTTGGGAGGTATGATAGAGCGTATCAACGCCGTACAAGATCGAGCCTCGGCACCTGTTGTCAAGCGCCGGAAGCTGGACACGCCCGAAAGCGACGTCCTCCCCCCCGCAGACAATAAGAAGACTATGACATCCGGTGGTACAGGTGTTCTTGGCGCCTACGTCAAAGAAAGGCGTGACGAGGGCAAGCAGGACAGCTCGGCCAGGGGAACCCAAACGGTCGACTTGACAGAAGGTATACAGCTTGCATGCAGCTTGCCTCTCCCACCTGCCCCGCCTTCCTCTTCCAATCCACTTCACGTCTGTGCTAACCGTTTGGTCATGTGCCTCATGTATAGGAGATGACATAGAAGTTGTTCGAGATCCCGGCTCGGAGGAAGTCTGCTACGGGATGCTTGGCGGCACCCTCCAGTGCCATACCGTTCCGTCCGCTAGGCCCGGCGCCAAGAGCATTTTTGGGGACGGCTGGTATCCCCATGTCAAAGTCGTTCTGAAAAGGCTCGCCGGTGATAGGACGCTGCGGCTCCAGGCTTATGATTTCACCCGGGAGATCATCGGCAACGTCGATGAAAGGACCGCCGAGGCTCTTGTGCCGCTGCTCGATGCCAACATCCGTGTCCGAACCGACTGTCGCATCCCGGCACGAAAAGGATTGCCCAACGAGGAACCCGGGAAACCGACCTCCAAGGCTTACCCACTTGAAATCATCCTCTATGGACCGATGCAATTCGCGAAGGCCATTGGAGGTCACTTACTCGCCCGCTCGATGAACCTGCGTCACCCTAACAGAGTTGACAAGGGCATCAAGTACATGAATCCCCAGGCAGGCGCCAACGACCGCCCTGCTGCCAGGAAGCCTGTCGTCGTACAACATGTACATGGCCACCACGGATATACACCTGGCACCAATATTACTCCCCGGACCGTGGAGGAGATTCGCTCCGATGTTCTGGGCGTGTTTGATTCTCTCGGAAAGACCGACGACCTCCCCGAACAGGAGCCGCCGGCCATGATCGTCACGCCGCTACTAAAACACCAGAAGCAAGGCCTCTACTTCATGTCTCACAAGGAGACTACTTTGACACCCGAAGAGCGGCTCAGGAGCTCGTACTATCGGATCCGGACGGGTCCTCACGGCGAGAAGGTGTTTTACAACGTGGTGACGGCACATGCCGAACGTCGTCTGCCCCCTCAGACTCGTGGCGGCATTCTAGCCGACATGATGGGTCTGGGCAAGACTCTAACCGTCCTCGCCCTGGTTTGCTCCTCACTTGACCAGGCGCGACAATGGGCAGGTGTGCCTCCCGTTCAGCCAGAAACGCCGCCTCTTAAAAATGGTTCGTCAGCGTCCAACAACTCGAGTCTCGGCCTCACCCAGTTGAAAAGGAACGCGAAGACGACGCTCTTGGTCTGCCCGCTGAGCACCGTGACGAACTGGGAAGAGCAAATAAAGCAGCATATCGCCCCGGGGTCCCTGAGCTACTATGTCTACCACGGCTCCAGTCGCATCAAGGACATCGGGAGGCTGGCTCAGTACGACTTGGTCATCACTACGTACGGTTCCGTCTCGAGCGAACTCAGTGCACGCAGCAAACGCAAGGCGGGCCAGTATCCGATCGAGGAGATTGGTTGGTTTCGCATTGTGCTTGACGAAGCGCATATGATCCGCGAAGTCAACACGTTGCAGTTCAAGGCGGTGGTGCGCCTCCAGGCGAGCCGAAGATGGTCCGTCACGGGCACGCCGGTGCAAAACCGGCTAGACGACTTGGCGGCATTGCTGCAGTTTCTCCGGCTGAAGCCTTTCGACGATCGCAACAAGTTCAACAGGTTCATCATCGACCCTTTCAAGAACTACGATGCAGAGATCATCCCCAAGCTCCGCATCCTCGTCGACACCATCACGCTCCGGCGACTCAAAGACAAGATTGACCTCCCGCCTCGCACGGACGAAATCATCAAGCTCGACTTCACGCCAGAGGAGCGCCAGGTGTACGATTTGTTCGAGAAGAATGCCCAAGATCGTGTCAAGGTCCTTGCTGGTGACGGGACCGGGGTGGGCAAAGCCCTGGGCGGACACACCTACATCCATATCTTGCGGTCCATTCTTCGTCTTCGTCTCCTGTGCGCGCACGGCAAAGATCTACTCAACGGAGAGGATCTGGAGGCCCTGCAAGGCATGACGGCGGACATGGCTATTGACCTTGATAGTGACGAGGAAGATGACACCAAGCCAGCTATGAGTGACCGCCAGGCTTACGAGATGTTCGAGCTGATGCAGGACACCAACACGGACGCGTGCTCCGTTTGCGCGAGGAAGCTCGGCTCTAGCGATTCCGATAGCATCGAGTCGGAGGGGCAAGAGGATCTCCTGGGCTACATGACGCGCTGCTTTCACGTCATCTGCAGCTCCAGTGCTTGCCTCAAGTCGGTGAAGGCACGGGCCGATGCCTCGCCGGGCCAGTGTCCGATCTGTCAGAACGGCGTCACGTTCCAGTACGTCGAGCTTCGGCGGACGCGCGCCAACGCCGAACACGACGGCCATATCAAAAAGGCGAAGACGTCGAGAAACGGCAAGCGCGTGTTTGACAAGTATGAAGGACCACACACCAAGACGAGGGCGCTCATCGAAGACCTCCTCCAAACCAAGGCAGAAACCGCATCGAAGCCGGAGGAGGCCACGTACAAGTCGGTTGTATTCTCCACGTGGACGTCACATCTGGACCTGATACAGATGGGTCTCGACAGCGCGGGAATCACGTATACGCGTCTCGACGGCACCATGTCGCGCACGGCGCGGACTGCGGCGATGGACAAGTTCCGGGAGGATCCATCGGTTGAGGTCATTTTGGTCTCCATCACGGCGGGCGGACTCGGTCTCAACTTGACGGCGGCAAACAATGTGTATGTGATGGAGCCGCAGTACAACCCGGCGGCAGAGGCACAGGCGATCGACCGGGTCCACAGGTTGGGGCAGAAGCGACCTGTGCGGACTGTGCGTTACATTATGCGGAACAGCTTCGAAGAGAAGATGCTGGAGCTGCAGGATAAGAAGAAGAAGCTTGCCAGTCTCAGCATGGACGGCAAGGACCGAGTGCTTGAGAGGGGTGACGCCGCACGACAGAGGTTGATGGATCTTCGCAGTCTCTTCAAGTAGACAGAAGATGGGACGGTCGGGGCATTTGGTATTGAGAGCACATGAATTTCAGGCCTCCTTGCTTGGTGGACGGTTTGCTATAGAATGGTCTGGCGTGTCTGGAGTTTGTGGGTTTGGCGTTTTAGCGGGGTGCCGAGACTTCGAGTCCCATTCACACAGTATATATCCTTTTTCCCACGGGATCAGGGAGGCTACTCGTACGGGAGATGGGAGTTTCATTTTACATGGTATGGGGAGGTACATTCTTAGGCCAGCTTCTACTAGCACGACATGTTCACTTTTCTTGTTGGAATGGCGCGCGTTGCAGTTTTCCCAGGCGCACCGGGTGGCCTGATAGAGCGGCGGCGATACGGGAGACCAAAAGGGGGACATCACACGATACCATTATTGATATGCAATCATCGATGCATTGGGCGCTGGGTGAGAATGGGAAATGCCATAATGGCTTCTTTAGCGGGATGGTTCTTCCTCGGTTTCATCGGGTTATGGGATCATGTTCGCGGGGGACAACGGGGCAGGAACATGGGAAGAATCTTGCTTTACATATTTATACGCTGGTTCTTATAGGTAGATAGATGCGTGGAAGGAATTCACATCTTTATTCACTAGAAAAGAGGCGTGATCATCATAACATGGTCATACAAAGGCAAGGTCTGTCTGTCTACTATCTATCAAGTTGGTGAAGATGGTAAAAACACATATTATCTTCTATGTTTGAAATGGCGAAAGCAGCGAAGCTACTGGAAGCAGGGCGGCAAAGACGTGGGATTTTGTGTATCTTTTCCATGATTCTGCTTCCCCTCACAAAAGCAACCCATGGAATTAGACCAGTCCCAACGATACATATCCACACTTATAATCGATGATTCAACGCCCGACTTACACTTGGTGTGTTTTTATGGGTAGAACCGTTCCACCGGGCTTCTGGAACCCTATGTAGACCGGGTTTTCTTCTGTCTTTTTTGTGGTCTGTTGTATTTTTGTTGAGCGCCGAGGTCAACCGGGCTTTTGGGTTTGGCGTGGTTTGGGGACTCCACCGGCTGCCTTTCCCACAGGAACACGGCATATGACATGTGAAAGAGGGTCCTCCTTTCGTCAGCGGCGGCTGGGCGGATAGAGCTTTGGATTTATCGTCGTACGAGTTAATAAATGGAGGTTCCATGGTTGAAACGCTATGCTCTCTGTTGCCTCCCAACTCGGCTTTGGGTGTTTGTGGCTCTTCCCCTTTTCCCTCCCTCATTATTCATGACCACTGGTTTAGAACCAGAATGACTTGGCAAAAAAAAGCCCAGAGGCGCGAAACGAGTCTTCGGTTTTCCTGTGCATTACGACAAGGCTAGTTCAGTCCATATATTCAACCCCTGGGTTGTTTACACCAAGACTCACGCTAGCCATGCGAGTTAAGACCAGTGAGAAACATCATAATCTGCTTGCTGCCGCGGCGTCAAGTGCTCCTATTCAGACGGGGTTTTACTTGCTACACAATATGTTGCGCAGGTTACGTGAAGTGGTGATACAATGTAACATGCATCTCAACGACAGAGGAACCAAGCGAGGAAAAAAGTTGAGAATATATCATGATGTATTTTTGAGTCATTTGTGTCTATGGACCCAGCGACCCGACTGATTTATTTTCTTCAACAAGGAGACGCCTGAATTTTTTTTCTTCTAAATTCAGGCCAAATGGGAGGATAAAATAAATGAAAAAGCAACCATCCATCGCCTTCCTGCGTACTTGAAACCACAACGCCAGCCAGCCAGATACAAATCTAAGTTCTCGTTCGTAAAAAGTAGTTCCCACCACCAAACCAACCGAAACAGCCAAGGAAACCTTCGAACTTTGGACGTCTCTGCATGCGGCAGTCCATTGCGGTTCGATGACGACAGCATCTGTTTTGCTGTCACCTCTCGAATCTTTTTGCGGTGGAGTAACTCCAGTGATCGGAGGGGGATGGGGGAAAGGTCATTAACGTGAATGGTACACACGACACCACTTTTTCCCAACAGTGGTGATGTGCAGTGATGTAAGTTGCGAAATGTCCTCTAGACATAACTGTCCCCCCCTCTCTATTCATCGTCGTCATCATCTCATCGTGCTTCATGCAGCATCAGCACCCTTGATGGGCTGGGCGAGCCGGGTGACCTGATCACCGGCACGGAAGATCCGCTGGCCAGCCGAATCGGTCACGGGGGTCATGTCCTTGTTCTCGAACTGAGTCCGCTTCCAGATCTCCACCTCGCAACCGCCACGGAGGACGCCAACACGCATGGTAGAAAGGAGGTTATGGGCCGCGTTGCTGTGGTTATAGACACCGCCGTTGAAGATGCCGGTGGCGTCCTTGCCGATGCCCGAGCTGATGAGGGCCTTGCCGCCGGGGTGCTCCTTGATGAAGTCGGTCACGTCGTGGATCACGCCGGCGATGGCGACGAGGGCCTTTCCGTCCTTGGCCTGGGCAACGAAGTCGTCCCAGGCGACGACGGGGAGCTGCTCGAGGGGCACGCCCCAGTCGAGGGTGGCGCGCTTCTGGTCGATCCTCTTCTGGAGCTGCTGGACACGGCCCTTCTCGATCTCGTTGGAACGGAACTGCTTGAGGTTGGAGGCGAGGCCGAGCTTCTTCCAGCACCAGATGGCCCACTTGGTGGGGTCGTACTGGTACCATTCGATGGCGTTGCGGTAGTCCGAGGGGAACTCGTGGTGGAAGTTGTGGTAGCCCTCGCCGAGAGTGACGAGCGCGGTGACGACGTGGTCGCGGGGCGAGTTGCGGTCGTCGAAAGGCTGGTCGCCGAGCCAGTGGGCGAGCGAGTTGACGCAGAAGGTGGCCTGCTGGACGAAGAAGATGCGGAGGATGCCGCCGTAGACGTAGCCGCCGAGCCAGTCACCCCAGAGGAGGCCGCAGAAGACGGTAGGGAAAACAAGGCCCATGCCGATGACGCACTTCAGGTAGTGGATATGCTGCCACATGACGACGGGATCCTCGTTGAGATCGGTGATATCGGCCCGACCAACACGTTTGGGATCCTGCTTCATGACCATCCATCCGATGTGGCTATAGAGGAGGCCCTTGCGGACGGAGTAGGGGTCCTTGTCGGTGTCGGTGTAGCGGTGATGGGCACGATGGCCACGAGCCCACCAGCGAATAGAGCCCTCCACGGCGCCGGCGCCAACAGCAGCGAGATAGATACGTAGGGGAAGCGAGGCAGCGTACGAGCGATGGGCCCAGAGACGATGGTATCCTAGAAAGGCGGCAGATTGTGAGAAACAGTTCCAGCAATGCTTTCTTTTTCTTTTGTCCTCCGTCTCCCTTTGAGGGGGGAAAGGGGTTCGTCTTACCTGCAGTGATGCCCAGACCTGTATGGAAGTAATAGACGACGGCGAAAATGGCCGTCTTGAGGTGGAGAGGAACCCAATATGAACCAATCAGGCCAATTATGGGAACGAAGACGATCAATGTGATGTTGAGCCAGTTGACATGCTGCCACCAGTTACTCCAGGTAATGGGCTGTGTGGTGACGTGAGGCTTCTTGTTGTCGGCCACGGGAGCCTTGCGAGCAGGGACATAGTCGGTGGTGCCATCATCCCACTTTTCGGGAGCGGCCTTGGAAGCGGTGGTTGCGACCATGGTTTTGTTCTGGGGGTTGGCTTGACGAGGAAACCGCCTTGTCAAGTAAAATAACGAGAGGACAGTCGGGGAGTCGAGGAGCACAGCTCCGTCTCTATCGATTACACGGTCCCGAGCAGGTCCGTAAGAGCCCAAAGACACGGCGAGATGTCAAAGTGTGGAATAAGGAGGCGTGGTGTGTCGATGATGGGGACAGAGAAGAGATGGAAAATAAAAGGTTGAGAGGTCCGAGAACGTAAAAAGGAAAAAAGTGGCAGGATGGAAGGTGAGTGTGGTAGGTAATATATGGCTGACCGGGGGGGGTGTGTGATGGATGGGACAACTCCCTTTTCCCCGGAAGCAGCATACGAAGTATACAGTCCTTTTGAGGACCTTACCTACCTTGGGTAGGTGCACCGTCGGAGGACCAGATAAGGCAAAGGGGTCCGGCACAAAGTGGATATGCGGCGTGTGTGTGGCAATGGTGGCGGAATGAACGTCAACCTCTTCTTGCTTGATACCTAGAGAGGAACGGACGTTGATGAGGGAGATGAGGTACTTCTCGTACCTAGGTTCCTAGGTAGGTATAAGGTAGGTAGAGGTAGACAAACCAGACTGGTACGAATACGACCGGTCCTTTGCCCCTGCTGACTCTTTTTTTATTCTTGTTTCTTTTCCTCTTGTTGGGGAAACCAAAACATCAACAGATCGCCCCTTTCTTACTTCCGTCGGTTCAAAAGTCGGTCCATAGACCCCGATATCTTCTAATAATCCGCACTCAAGCCACACCATTCCAATGAAAACCACGCCATGAGAGTGCCAAAGTCGTCAATTTCTCATTAATTACAAAGTATGTACCTAGTATACGGAGTACATTACTTCTTACACACTCAACCAAGGAAGGAAACCCATCAAGCAATTCCCCAGAGGCAACGCACGGCGCTCACCTAATATTTTGCCTCGACGTTGCCCAAAAAGGCCAACCCTGGATTCCCGCTCTCAACGAATTTACGCATGCTACCCCAACGAGTTGAGACTGCACGTATCATGATTAGCCAATACCCCTTGATCCCCTGCATGTGGGGCGCGCTAGTCACTCCATATTCCTGCTGCCTTCCTCTGCCTTACAATATACAACGTAACTACATATACGTAACTACGGAGTACGTTGTACTTCGCACTAACAACAACCCGACCTCCCTCGCTTCGACAACCTGTCTTTCAACAACCAGCATATCTGGCGCCCACAAGGCCGAGGTCCAAGTTATTACCTCTGGCCTTGACCCCATCCCTCACAGGGCAATCACGTTGTCTTTCTCACTGTAAGATACCTAGGCACATATTGTATTATGTATCCACGCACGGAGTAGGATAGGACTAAGGTAGCTATAAGATTGTCCGGTCTTGGTACCATGTACTTCGTAGTTGAGACATCGTCATTGATCGACCTGTTGGCCCGTGCATCGCTGTCTGGGCCCATCCCAACAGAAAAAAATGATGGCATTCCACATTTGTGCCACCACACGTACATACTGTGTGTACCAGGCTTCATAGTCGTCATCTTCAGATGAAGTCATGTGAAATTCAACATCGATATCAGAACAAGTCCTAGACCCATACTTCAACACGTACTGGGGTACTCGGCATATACGAATAGGATTTAAGAAATCCCTTGACTAAACGGTCCCGTTACCAGCAGGAAGCAATCGGCGTTCATGGGATATTGTGGCAAACTCCAACGGCGAACGCGGCCTGGCTAGCGTGTGAGAGTTGTGTCTACGAAGCATCGTTAGCTGCTATCTTGTCGCCGACCAAAAAGCTGGTGTTCTGCTGAGCTGGGCTTGAACGCATTGTCCATTTTCTGCTCAAGTGATCCATGTGAAAAGCTTTAAGGCAAATCGCGATTTCAAGCTAAATATATGGTGGTACAATATCCTACCTACCCGGGTTTGGGGGGGTTTTGGACATTTCCAAAACAGCCTGTTAGGTATGGACACAGTGTCTTAGAGGGACATGGTTACATATAGATTACACGCCTATTACGTTGGTGTGACCTGTTATTGCGGTAAATATTATATAAAAAAGGTCTAGTGTTCGGTGAATTAATATCTCTATAGTATAGCTATATCTTAAAAAACAGGTCTCCGATATACCGTATTTTAACTAATATAAAGTCACTTAATTAAGATTATAACTAAGCACGACACACCTCTCGGCATAAACGCGTTGTATCTTCTAAGATATATCACACTTCCCTAAACATACGTCTTATAAAAAATATATAGTATATAGTATATCACTTTAGAAGACATAAGTTCCTAGAGCTAATATTATTATCAGGAGAAACAGTTATCTTCGTATATTATATATCTCCTTTAGTTAATACGTCCTAGTTCTAGTATATATTAGTTTAACGGGTAGTGAATAACTACGAAGCTAATATATATTTCGGTATTATTATACTAGGAGTTTAGTATAAGAAGAGAAGATTACTTATTATACTCCTTAGATCGGTATACTGGTTTATTAGTGAATCCCTACGTAAACCGCTATCGAATTCTAATACCGCCTATAACTCTGCCCGGCTCTCCCTACTATATTATAAGCTCTAGTATTAACTATATCCTAAGTAAGATATAGGCGAAGTATATAGCAGGATATATCGTAGAGATGGTGAATCTTTAGATATATTATTATCTACTAGGCGATAGTATTATCCTTAATATCCTTAGATACCTCTTCTTTACTAATATCACCGTCGTCGTGAGTCCTCCTATCCGTTATCTATGCCCTCGTTATTATCGGCCTTATCGGCCTCCTCTTCTCTATCTAATAAATATAAATTAGTATATTATAGCCGATTTACTAACTAAATTTCTAAGTGCTTACTATCGAGATCTATCTCCTATTCCTCTTCTATATCCTCCCTAACTTACTTCACGGCTCCCTTTTTTATCTTAGCGCCCTTTAAGAACTTAGTAATTCTGCCAGCTATAACCCTCTTTAGTATACTCGATCCAGTATTACTTTTCTTATCCTTTTTCTTGGCTTTAGCGGCACCGGGGGTATATCCTCTCTTATCCGACTTCTAGCGAAGGATTTCTAAGGCTATTATACGCTTATTAGTGTCTAGTCCATCCACTTATTTACTATCGTTAGTAAGTATCTTAAAGCTAAAAGCTCTAGCGGTTTCACGCTACTCCTCGACACGCGCGGTGTGAACCTCGCTCTTCTGGGTAAATTAGTAAATGCCTTTACGAGCGGCCAGGGGCAGCTCAGGTTCGCCGCTAAAAACTACTATAGCTTAAAGAAACAGAGCGGCGGTGGGCTTACCCTTAACGCCTCTGATAGCGTTACTGAACTAGCGGTATAGGAGGGACTAAGACTCCTTTACTCCCGGGTTAACTAGAAGCTTAATATTAGGGAGACTATTATTAGATATAATATCTATTTATCTAGAGTAATAGTTAGTAAACTTAACTCAGAATCACGATAAACTTTTATTATAGGTGTACTATAAGGAGTGACAGGCGACTGCTAGACGATATAAGATCACCTAGGGACTAGTAGGAGCTAAAGAGGGGGTATTATGATAAGATTATTCGTTGAGTCCTCCTAAGACTCTAGGAACTATAGAAGGCACTCCCCTCTTTATACCTACCTAAGGTCTTTTAACTAAGTGGGTAGCGAGAGGCCTCCTTAGGACTAAGTTTAGGCGTAAACTGGTCCCTAAGCTAACTAGCTTACTAGATCTAAGCTAACTTCTAAGCTGACTAGCTTACTTAACCTTAACGCGTCGTGTCTCTAACGGTCTGATCTGACTACGATCTCCCTATCTATATATAAGTCTGGTGCTAGTCCTGTGGTAACGTATAAGCACTATATATTCTGATAGCTTTAGATATTATCCAGATAATAAGAACTAATATCTATACTATATCTGGGTCTATAGAATAGTGAATTCTACTTACTAGTGATACTAAAGAAGTTAGTATAAGCTTAGCGCTATATAATATTACTGGAGATAGCGGTAATAAAGAAGATATAGAGGAGAATATCTAATAGATTTAAAACTAAGGATATATATACTAGAAGCTCTGCTACTCTGAGTCTCTAATAGGTACTAAGGGAGGAATAATACGGTTACTTACTTAGGTAGGCAGGTTATTGCTTAAAGTTATCACCATAAATAGCAAATAAGATTAACTGATTAAGAGTAAGTACGATATCTTATTATAATAATATACCTAGCGGCTCTAGAATATCCTTAGCTTAATATCTAAGCTAAGCTAAGGAATATCCAGCTAAGCTAAGGAATATCCTAGGAGAGGCGAGGAATATCTAGCTAAGCTAAGGAATATCCTAGGAGAGGTAAGGAGTATTGTAGGAGAGGCGAGGAATATCCAGCTAAGCTAAGGAATATCCTAGGAGAGGTAAGGAATAGTCTATAAAGAATCTATAGAGTAGAGAAGATATTAATTTATAGTATATAGAACTCTTTATCTTATAGTGAATACGTTAAGCAGAGTTATTAAGCTCTGGACAGTCTAGTAAATAGGTAAGGTAGAATATATTAAATAGAGAGGGCTAACTTACTATAAATCCCGTGATCTTCTACTTATAGCTATATCGTAAGGTCGTAAAGTCGTAAAAATAAAAGTATAGCAGATTATAATAGATATATATTAGAACGCTAAAGAGAAAAACGCCCTATTAGAATTCATAGTCGCCGACGCTAGCCTATAAAGTAAACCATTATCAGAATATAACCTAAGAAACTAACATATCACGTCTCGGCTAGGTTCACTATCGCCTAAAAGCTCTTATCAGGCTTAAAGCTTCCTAGATCGTCCTTAGCGCCTAGGTAAGTACGGTTATCTTTCTCTATCCTACGCGGTTTAGTATAGGGATAATCCTTTACTAGAGATAGATCCTTAAAACGTAGACCCTTAGCAATGCTTATATAGGGAATCTTATTCTATCTAGTAAGCACCTATATCAAGTCCTGGACTAGGATAGTTACGGTGCCGGCTATAAGATTTTTAAGGTAATCCAGGTAGCGTTTTATAATACTACACGCTTCGGTGAATACCCCTACAGAATATTAGAATACCTAGGTATATTCAAAAGATATAGTCGATCTTAAGTGAATATACAGAGGCACTAACGCTTCACTTTCTTATTACTGTCCGAGATATTAATCTATATTTTATAGAAGCTAAAAAGCTCCTCGAAGAGATCGGGGTTCTATATTTAGCTAAGGAATTTATATATACGATAATAGTCTTTCTAGACGCTAAATCGGTTATTCTCTTTCACGCGGAGCTTAGTAACGTAGTCCTATATAAATTATATTAGTGAATATCTAAATTAAAGGTGGTAAGGTAAGGAATAATTACCTTAATTACACTTAACGTTCGAGACTTCTAAGTCGTGTAGTTCCCCTAGTATCGTCTTAAGCCCTATTCGTAAACCTATTTGTAGTCCGTGTTCTTGAACTTAGCTAGGTAAAGGTTAACCACGCTTTCTTATTAGTCTTAATTAAGTGTGAGGAGAAAAGCTTTACATGTACTCTTTTCGAGGCGTCGGAAAAACGGGCGGATTTCTTCGGACTAGCTAGGGTGGCTAGTTATTATAAACTTCCGTTTTTTACGGGCATTTTTCTAAGAATTATTAGGCTAGTAAATATTAGAAACGGTTCGAATTAAATAGAGGTAAGAGAGAACTAACCTGAATAGACCGTAGAGCAGAGCTAATATAGTCTTTATCTAGCAGGACTATAGTTAGTGAATCCTTTCTAATTATACGAGAGCCCCTTTATATCTCCTCGTCGGATTCGAAAGGATCTTCTGTATTGCTTCTTATATCCAGGTTATCTTCACGGAATCTTTTACTACCACGTTACTCTAAGTTTTAGCGGGATACCGGAAAACGAAATACGGGATTAGGATTCCTAGCTGCGTTCGCTATAATACTAGAAGGTATTAGTATACCTTATTCACGGTATATTAAAAAGGTAGAGGATAGAATTTATTAACCTGCCGGCAGCTTCGAATAAGAGATTATAGGTAAAGAAGTAGAATTTACTAAGCTAACGGGAAAAGAAGATAAGCGGAAATAACGAAGGGAAAAGATAAAGGGAAAAACGAAGAAAAATATAAATGAAAATTACACCCCGCCGCCTATAAAACACGACACGAATAAAGGAAGAAATAAGATTTACCTCTATAAGTAATTCAGGAAGATAATATATTATAGAGTGCGTTATTATTTTACCACGTAACCTTATATTTTAGCGTGTTTTAGCATTTTATAGTGGGGGAGGCACGCGAAGGAATATCGCTAAATAAGGCTATCACAAAATAATTTACGAAGACTGAATTCATAATTTATAATGAATTTATAACCATATCTTCCGTATCATTACTATACCTCGTTTAAAAGACTCGTTTAAGGGCAGACCTATTTTTCCTCCTATTATTATTCGCGAAGCTTTAGCCTAATAGCAGATTCTATTATCGATTCTTAATAAGCGAGACTTTCGGCTGCTACCTTCGTCTCCCCTAGTATAGCGTCCTCCCCTAGCTAGCCGTGGTAAACTATTCTTAAGGGCTTATAAGGCTAAGAACTCCGATATCCTAGACTAGTTAAACTACTAAGACCTGGATAACGGCGATTTACTAGCTCCGGATAATCCTAATAATACTACTAATACCGGCGATATTAGTAGCGATAAGGAGAATAACGTTGATTATAACCTAATAGGCGTGGATACTCTTAAGACTATTAATAACGTTACTACTAATATCCTACTTATAGATAGGCCAGATAAGAATACGGACGAGAATAAGAAAGACG